AGTAAGATATGAACACTTACTTGTTACAGAGTGTCTCAAGTCTCAGCCCTTTTTTATTATGATAATTTTCACATCTGGTAGACTATGGTAGTTGCTGTTTAAGTGTTTGACTACTGGTTGGTCAGTTAATTAGGAGCATCTGTCAAGTGATATTTGGTCATAAATACCTAAATTTCTTGGGAGATATTGCCGCTTGCGGCCATAAAGTAAATGAAGAGCTTATATGTTAGTTGATGTTAAATAAGTTTAACATCAGTCTTAGACAGTTTCACCAGTGCAAAAATGAATGTTTGATTATAGAAATAAAATTATGCCACATTCAGCATTGAAGCATGACTTTGCAACCCAGATTGAAACCCTGCCAATGACAAAAACTGCCTTTGACTTCAGTGGGGTGAAGATATACTGACAAGATAAAGACATCTTATTTATGCTGACCTCTCTAGATTCATTGAGTTTATAACTAATATTGTTTTTGTAGCAAATGTACATCAATGCAAATTCCTACCTACATTGTGCCACATCAAGGTAAAACACTTGTGCAATGGAGATCTGAAAAGGCAGATTAGATCAAGATGGGCCAAAGCCATCCTATTTGTCATGTGGATTTTGAATCTAATAATGTATCTGATTCTAGACAAAAGATGATAAAATCACTAGCACTTATAGAAAATGTTTATAGAACCATTATAAATACAGAGATGACTTGGTTTTGGTGCACATAGGATGGTTGTGAAGGATAATGGCTAATATTTCAAAATATTTTCAATGTTTGGATTCAGTGAAGTATAGGCATTTAGAGTAAGCATTATTAAAAATGTATTTCCTGTATGCATATGCACATACAATGTTTAGGCGCAGAAGCACACACATGCACAAAGCTAAAATTTAAAATGGCTGTATGATTAAACTTAAAATATGCTTTTTATTTTTATGGATTTTTGAGTTTAGAATAAATTTCATTACCCATGTATTTATTTATGTGATTCTTTTACCAGTTCCTATTTCCTTAAAAATTAACCAGAGAGAGGGAGAGAAAGACGGAATGAATGCTTTATGTATTTTTATTAGCACAGTATACCAAGTATGGCATATTTGTGAGAGGGACTGAAAAATCTTTCAGTGAATATTAGAACAGGCTTCTCCATTTATAGAGAAGGGAATAATAAGCAATGATCTTAGCAAAAGTACTATATCACCACCAGGTGGTGCTAGTGCAGTATGTTTAAAGTACAACCCTTATTTTAGCAGTATTTAGAACACATCTTTTTGCTAACCGTAAATGACATATGTACGGTGAACAAGGTTTTATGTGCTGAGCAGTAGATTTGTTGGTTCAATTAATAAACATAAACTAAGAAACTGCATAGTGGTTTATGGTCATTTAAGTGAGGTTCAAGCATGTGTATTTCCAACTTCAAAAAGTTGAATACGGCCCTACTGAGGAAGAAGATCCCATTTTCACCTATACGATAGATTGAGGCACACTGCAATTGTGAAGTCATATTCTTCATTTTTAGCCTCCCTTGTTGATACAGCTATCAAGCAGCAACATATAGGGACATCATTCATCTATGTGATGTTCCATTCTCACGTGTATTTTGTCTGTACCCAGTGCTGCTGTTTACTGTGCAAGTATAACTTGTGTATTAATTGCAGTATATTGCTATTTCTCTTAATTATACTGCTACCTGTTATTGTGACTTTTTAATTTTTTTTTTACTGTCATAACATGTATGGGATTTTTTACAGTAATACATAGGAAATAGGGTACCCTGTTGTGCATTATTTTAAAATAAAAGTAGAAACAAAGTTAAGTTTTAAATAGTGCAGCTTTTCATGTTGGGTAAAATTTTCAAGCGACTTAAAAGCCTTCTAATGCAAGACCTAGGCACTTAGAAAACCTTTTCTCCCCCGCTTAAAATTTTTGTAAAATCAAATCTACGTCCATTGAGCATAAGGCTTAAAAACAAGTTTGGACCAGATTTAGCTTGCGGTAAGTGAACATAATTCTCACTGTTTTCAAAAGGAGTTCCACCTTCTATGCTTGCTTTGAAATTGGTGCAAGATTCACAGAGACGTGTGTGCGTGAGAGTGATATGACTAGCTGAGCAATTAATATGAATAACTATAGACTGGCCTTTTGTAAGTAAGTTATATCATTAAAAAAGAATCAAGTGAGTGATCTTTCCAGCTATAAATCAAAAATAAAAATCTGTTCCCCTTGTACCAGTAGTACTGTGATCAAGGTAAGATAAATTAAGGTGTAGCTGCCAGCTACACATCAGTGACCACTTCACTTTAAAAACAACCCCCCCCCCCCAAAAAAAACACCCCAAAACAAAATAAAACTGTACTGTAAGCACTAGTAAGTCCATAAAATCTTGATTGAGGCTGGGTGAACCAACCAAAGAATGGTGTATCAGGGATATGTTGCCGTATGCATTTACTTTGGATAATTTGTTTTATTTTATGTCTGGATTTTCCAGTCTCAGTTGAATGACAGTTGTGTGGAGCTTTTTTGTGTTTTTTGCTGAGTAGAAGCTCTGCCTCCTTTGGAGTCTTATACACTCAGTATCTTATAGGATGACAGCATGCATGCAAAAACATTTTTGTGTATGTAAACTTACAATTTATAATGACATATTCTGTATCTAAAAAAATGTGACTATACAGAACTTTAAGTTTTGTTTGAATAGTGCACGTACAATTCCTCACTTTTGGGGAAAGTAAATATGCTTTTTCAGCCCAAGTTTTACTTTTTTCTTTTTTTAACTCTTTAGCTTATGAATTCTTGAAACATCTATCCTTAAATTTGGAGTGAATGTTTTATATTACAAAAGCACAAGGCAGCCACAGCGAGTTCACAGAGCTCAGTAAAATTATCTGCATAGCGTTGATGAGTATCAATAAACTGTTGAGTGTCTTTGAATGCCTAGTCAAGTCACTTTCAGTTCTTGCACTGTACAGCATGCTGAGCAGGACCCAGGTAATAAACTGTGTGCAGTAATGAATCTTACTTTAATACAGCTGAGTAAAATGTGCAAAATGTTTAGAGCATTTAATCTACTGCAGTATGATGGAAAGAGCATAAAATATAAAAATTAGGTGCAGGCTTATTTTTTGGATTTTTTTTTTAAGGAACACAGACTGAAGAGACAGGTTAGTTAAAAGTTATTGACATACTGCTAATCTGTGTGGGGTTTTGGAAGCATTTTCTTCTTTACGAGAATGCAAGCTTGCCAGGTGCTATATTTAGAATATATTTCTTACGTTGTTCACACATAATGTTATATTCTTGTGGAACTACCAGTGTACCAGGAATGTGAGTTTTCTTGAACTTCTGTCAACAGCTATGGTTTTTAGCAGTTGCTTTTATGAGATGACAGTTTCTCAAAATTCAGTTTCTGTAATGATTTGGTCAGTTATTGTAAACTATAGATTTTAAGCTGTATCTGTACATGCAGTGCCTAATGAAGCAATGCCTGTAGAAAAATGTAAAAAAAAAAATGTTCCTTTTCACTCTCTTTATTCAAGCTTGTGGTGAAGTTCTGTTGTGTAACACCAGTAATTTTGAAGTCATCATTGCTATAACAAAGAATAAATTCTGATCTTTTCCATTTATTTGGAAGATCCAGTCTGTTTGTAGTAATGGACTGTTTATTAGAGAGTTAGCGATCATAAACTCTGACCTGTGTGTATTACACTTTACTGTGTTCCTGATTTGATTGAAAAACTAATATAAACTAAAGAGTTTTGTACCTTTCTTTTATAGCTTTAGACAGCAGTGTTGTGCTTTCTAGCTATTTATTGTCAAAAACTTGTAATGATGAGTTGAAATATATTTTTGTTTGCTGAGCTTTTCCTCAACTTTTCTAAAAGTCAAAAAGTTCCTTTTTAAAATCATATAAATTTAGTCATTTATACAACTTCACATCTGTTTTTATACAAAAAATGGGAGCATTTAGTATGCTAAAAAATGGAAAGTTGATACTATTACTTGTAAGTTTGCATTTCAGTATTCGTAATTTTAACTTTACTGAAAGGTCTGCCTCTTGGGGAATATGGCTATGCAGCTTGTGGAAGAGACAAGGGAAGAAATGAGATGGAAAGAAAAGCAGGCCTAGAATAGGTAGTGTCCCTTTACAGTTTTAGATACTTGTTATAGTGCCATGTGTGTCAAGGAAGAAATCAGGCCCCATTGAAATGAGTAGAATTCTGGTGTTGATTTTAGTGGAGCCAAAATTTCAATGTAAGAGAACTTCTGATTATAAATATACAGTATGTGTATTTTTACCCTGGATGAAATTAAGGGGACTTGTTTTTATAATCTGAATTTAAGAGACGTGATTTAAATCAGTTTCTGATCATTGTAAAGATTAATGTATACTGATGGATTAATTTGGTGGAAGGACAGAGTACTTATGTTTGCCAAGAAGCTAATAGAGTTCTTATTGCTCAAGATATATGTAAGTTCAGTTGCACTGAATATTTTTAAACACTTTGCTTTGCATGAATTTGTTTTACGTCAAATGTTCTGGATGCATGTAGTATTTTGTTTGCCACAGAGGAGGTAAGTAGTCCAATGAGATTGCCAGCTATAGACTTTTTTTTTTCCTTCTTGTTTTGGGAAATGTGGGTTTAGATCTTTTGTTTAATTCAAAAGTAGAGGGTTGTCTGTCTTGCCCGTTTTTCAACAATACAAAATTCTTGCAGACGTTGGCATGACAGACATGCCTAGGACTTGAGAAGGAAGGTCAGGAATAGGTCAGCCTACCTAGGGATCCTGTCAATATATCTGCGCTGTTGTTTCACTGGGACCAGGTGCTTCCCTTTTGTAAACACTGGGCTCATCTGAAATGTTTTGAAAAATGATACTTAAAAATAGATTTTTAAAATAACTAAATAAGTACCTAATTTACTTTTCTATTTGAAGTCTATTTTGTTGTCAGCTGTGGATTTTTGATGATTTGTTCCGTTTTCTGATTGTTATTCTGTAGCATTGCCAATGAAGCAGGAGCATCTATCTACAGTGTCAGTCCCGAAGCTTGTAAAGAGATGCCAGATTTAGACCCTAATCTCCGAAGTGCAGGTAGGAAGTATAATTCATTATTTTCTTGTAATCTTGCAACTCTTTTCTTGGTTTCTCTGTCCTTATGTGTAGTTCACATTACTCTGTATGACATTCAGAATGTGTTTGAAATGCCGAGAGAATGAGCTGTGTCCCTGCCACACAGTCATTCCACAGAGCATCTTTAAGGCCCTGAGCCGAAGTGTGTCCAAAATTGGTTAGTCTCTGTGGCCTTTGGAAGCTTAACATGACTCTGCAAATTGTGTAGCCTCTGGCTGAATAGGGTATTTGCATCAGTGTATGAACCAGCATTCACCTTTCAACCATCATATGCATTACATGCCTCTGGTCATTAGTCTCTTCAGTCATTGTTTTTCTGGCTGGTCCTTAAGACATTAATAACTTCAGAAACAGTAATCTGTTTCTGCTAATCCTCAGAGGAGGATGGTACTTTTTATGTTTTGTCCAGATGTACATTAGTGATTTCTAATTGTACTAGGGGATGGAGATACATAGGCAGAGTTAAATTTGTTTAGTATGATTTTTATCTCTATTTTTCCATTTTCATAATTGGAATGTTGTATTTATTTCATGTAAACCTTAATTCTGAATGTCAAATATTAGTGTTACATTATTCAAACAGTGAATATACTCATAAGTATACCTCCAACTTGTCTGATTTAATATTGATAAATATTAGTGTCACCTTTTCTGGAGTTTTTGCCCTTGAATTTCTTTACAGTTTAAAAAAAGAAAAAAGGGAAAGCATGGTCAAGGGGAGTCCCTGTGCAAGGAAATAGGAAGGAATAGAACTGTGCATCCCACCCTAAATGAATTCTTCCATCTTCCTGTTCCCCACAGTGGGAGAATTTTCCAATAATATGGTCTGTAAAGTGGGCTGATTATAGTATCCCTCTCTCAATGCCTATCCAGCCTTCCTTCCACTCCTATTGCTCCATCTGGCTCCCTTTTTCCTAGTAGTTAATTAACGTTTTTGTGACTACTTCCTGCAGGGGCCATGCAGAGTTATAAACACCGTATTGGGGTATGGATGATTTCTGTAGTGAATGTGTCAACTTCTTGTGAATTATGTTAACAGCAATCCTTTTTTTTCTATTCTGAGACTTCTCAACTTACTGTTATTACTGAAAGGGGGCGACAGTGGTCACAAGGACTAGCAGAATAGAAATATTTGTTGCTAAGGCAGGTAAAAGAACACACTAGGAAGGTGTTCCAAAAAGAAATATCCTTTATTTTGAAATGTTCTTCATGTTCTAAACCTGATATTCCATATGCTTTCCAGAAAAAAATAGTATCCTGTGAACTTTCAGGCAGTTTGCTTTAATTTTAGTTAAAATCAGGCTTGTAATATAGGATTGATTTCAGTGCTAAATATTTGAAGTATAGCATGGGCCAGTGAGTCTCAACTTTTTAGACTCAAGGTAGTCTTCATTAAACTCAAAGACTAACTTACTTATTTCAGTGCTTACCTCCTTGCAGAGGGGCTGGGCAGAGTGGGTGGGAGAATAGTCAGGTAGGACTGTTGCATGAGCCTGGGCTTATCTGTTTATCTCCTCACATCTCGCAACACCCTTCACATGATTTTGTGGCACCCCTGGGTACCCTGGCACCTGGTTGGAAATAACTGGTATAGGCACACAAGTATAAATAAGTCCCCTCATCTACTATTGAAGAGCAGAAGGTCTTCAACATGCCTACAGTATCACATTTTTATACAGATTAGAAATGAAATAGAAAGATACAACATGGATTGTATTCAGTCAATATTGGTGAAAACCTCAAGATTTGGATGCCTAAGTATTTATGTAGATACAAATTTGAATAGAGCCTTTTTAGAAATGTCGTGAGGTTTTGTTTAAATATGTAATATAACTTGCTCTTCGGAAGTAAAGGTATGAATGCAACATTAGGTATTGTAACTTTTTAAAAGGAACAATATGAAATTTAAGCACACTATTTAAAATACTGATAAAAAAGTAAATTGTTTTTGGTAACTCTTTCTTTCTCTTGCACTTTTGGATTTATTTTATTTGTTGTTGATGGCCACCTGATCATATGGTGTCAAAACTAACTTGTTTTTTTATTTTAATTGGTATGTTATGCCGTGTCAGGTCTGTGTTTACATGATAGAGTTTAGTACATTAAAAGAAGCTGACAGCTGCATGATGAAGTGTGACATTTATAGTTAAAATAAAAGGTACAGCAGACATTATGTGAGCTAGCTGTGATCTTAACACAATTTGCCACTTTAACATTTCTCTTGGTACAAAGTGGATAGCAGGGGTCAGACTTAGGAAATACTGGGTTTAGCCTATGTCTGCCCATCAGGTATGTGAATGTGAAATATTAGATAATGGATTTTATATGAGAATTCATTTTCACACCTTGTTGTGTTTTCTTAACTACATTTATGGTGCTGTTAAGCAGCCAGTATTTGTCTAAATTTACCTCTGTTCTCAATCAGTTTGATTTCCCACAAAAATATTTAAAAATATGCTTATTGAAAGTGTTTTTATTATTCATTTCTTCTGGATAAGTGTTCACAAAGGAAAAACTGCTTCTACATTTGGCATTAATTGACAAGCTCTAACAGGCTGTTCTCTCTCCCTTGCTTTCAAGGTCAGGATTGAGGTAAATTGGTGGCAAGGTATTGTGAAAGCTTTCGTTGTAACTAGTTATGCTGTACATAGATTATAGGTAGATTATCTTGTTCAGTGGGGTCATCTGTATAGCTGTTTTAACGAGCACTGTATTTACCTGAAAAAATAATGTTGTTTTAAATGATCCAAATCAACTGCTCAAATCCATAAGGGATACACTGTGCTTGCTAATGTGTTTGTTGTAGCACAGTAGTAGAGGGATCCTGTTTGTGATATCTTGACTACTTAATTCTTCACAAGTTTTCTAGGCTTTAAAAAGGCATCCTCAATAATTGTCAAGTCATGCAAATGATTTTACTCAACTTCAGGGCAGCTGTGAGCTTGATGGAAGTGAAAAGCCTTTCTTTACTGCCACTGTGGCAGCAGAGAAATCTGGTATGGTAAGGTATTGCTACATGGTGATGAATTTAGTGATTGTGTTTGGTTATTGTAGAGTTTACTCTACTCCTTAACAGCAGCTAAGGGCTTAAGGAATAGAGCAGCTGCCTTCCCAGTTGCAACTAATTGGCTGATCAGCAAGGATCCTGGTTTTCTCTGTTTTAAAACTAAAAATTCTCTAATTTTAAAAAAGCCCAAATTCTCTGATTTAAAACCCCCCAAATCCGCATTTTTTCATGATTAAACTAAAATTCCACTCATATATATATATAGGTATCCATTGAACACAATGTTTTATTGATATATTTACAATTTTAAAGCAATTTGGAAGCCTTCCAGTGCCTCAATCATAAAATAAATTCTAAATACCTGTATATTTTGGCATTTGATATTGGGGTTTTTTTATCATTGACAATCAGAGCTCCCCTTGCCACCTTTGCTCACCAGGACCTGGGTCTAGCTGCGGCTGTTCCCCTTGCTGCTTTGTGGCACTAAGCAACTCTGATATGCTGGTGCCCTGGCCCTGCCCATGCCACTGCCCCTCATTCCCAAGCCATAGCCTCCCCAGTCCTGCTGGTGCACCTCACTCTCAACCCACAGTTTCCCACACTCCCAGGCCATGATGGTACAACTCAGTCCCAAACTGCAGCTGCCTGGCTGTACCGGTGCCCCTCACTCCCAAGCTACAGCCCCTCCCTTCAGCCCTACTCATGCCCCTCAGTCCCCAGCCCTGCTGGTGCCCTGCACTCCCAACCCACAGTCCCCTGCCCCCTTGGTGCCCCTCACTCCTGAGCCACAACCCCCACAGCCCTGCTAGTGCCTCTTACTCCCGCTCTATAGCCCCCTACCCCCCAGCCCTGCCAGAGGGGGCCCCCAGCTGTCCCCATCCCACCCAGGCTGACGTACAGTGGCTATGGTGGCTCCGACTTGTGTGGGCGGTGGTACAGTGAATCTGGCCCCGGCACGGGCTGGAAGAAGGAGGGGAGGCCTTTGGCATGCCCCCTGCCCACTCCCGTGCCTCTCCAGGTGGCTGGGCCATGCCTGACCCCTCCCAGGCGGTGTTTCCCAGCTACCCTGCCCTGCTCCTGCCCCTGAGAACATGGGCACCAGCCCCAGTGCTGCAGGCCCAGCCATACAGCTCCCCACTGGTCCTGAAGGGCCCCCCTGCCCCTTTCCCCCACTGGAGGCACCTCCTTCTTGCCCCCCCTGCACTGCCACAGCCCTGGTACCTGGACTGCTTCCCCCAGAGCCGGCAGGCACCTGCCCCACCTTCACACTCTTGCAGGCTGGAACTCTGACACCCTGCAAGGGAAAAGCTACCATTCGCCATGTTTTTCTTCTCTAAAGGAGAATCCATTTGATCCATTTTTAAAGTTTGTTTGCAACCCTTTCATATATTCTTGTGACCCACTGGTTGAGAAACACTGCTCTGAAGGACATGAGGAGTGGAATTGCTTTAAAGACTCCTGTGTAGGAAGCCCTAGGACATGTTGCCTGAGAGAGAAAAGAGCAAGAGGGTTGTCTTGAGTTGCTCTTCATTTCTGGCTAACAGGCAGAATGACAGTGGGTGGTATAAGCTGTGGCAACAACACGTGTAAGGATTCTGAATGAATGGTGCTCAGAAAATTGTGATGGTGGGGTGGATCATCTGGGGCCTGCAGGGGGGTGGGGGCGGCGCAGGAGGGGTGGGCCGTTCCCTGTCACTGTGCAGACCTCTGGGGGAGGGAAGGGACATTGGGGGGCAGATTGAGGGAGGGAGTGGGGCAGAGGCAGGAGGAAGGGCAGGCCCTACCATTGTGCATACCCCTGGGAGAGGCATGGGGGGCATGTGCCCCCCAAATTTGTGCACAGGGTAAGAGTGGGCAGGCTGCTGCAGGCTCAGGGCCAGGGGGTGTGCTGGCCTCTTCCTGGTGGGGGGGGCTGGCTTGGGGGGGGGGGAAGGGAGTGGGGCAGGGCAAGCGG